GGATTTCTGTAATAAACATGTACTTACACAAGATCGAAGACCGCTGAGTAATCGAATAAACATATTTAATTAACACATTTATTTTTACGTTTAGCAGTTTAAATGTTATTTACATTTGAGTAATCAATGTGTGCTGATCAGTGTCCTGTGTGTCATGTCCTTTTTAGTGCATCTCGAATCCTATCGACCAAGTTGAAATGTGACTATTGGTCTAGGTGACTCGATGGTACATGCACTATGTGGAGAGAAGATGATGGTTAGAGGTAGTCAACAAGAAAACCTTGACCGTCATTTCTCTTGTTTCATCACTTTCTCCCAAATTCCTACTTTATCTCTAATAATCTGTGGTCTAAATTCTTATCTATGAAATATTATATTCTGATTTTCATGTATACTGTTCATATCTGAGCACCTTGACAAACCAGCTTTTCCGTACTATATCAGAAGGGGTTTTGTGGAGAATTTTAGTAATTTTATATAGTTGAGATCATGAGTCAATTGAAGCTAAACCACCATCGAAAACCTAGAAGCACTGGAAAGCAGTTTCGTCCTATTGTGGGACTTCTCAGCAGTGTGCATCCACGATCCCACCTCAAGAGATTTGAACCCATGACCTATGAGTGTCGCGTCAGAGCACTTAACAGATAGACCACTGAGCCAGCTGGTATCCAACGGTGTTAATGTCTAACTTTAACCAATCCAAGAAATTGAGCAACCATTCACCAATGTCATTAGTGAGTTGATATCTCCCAACAGACCTTGTTGAACTCCACTGGTTACTGCTTCTCACTAGAACTCCACGAAATACCTCAGGAAATACCATACTGTGTTTATGTGAATCACAAATCAATGAATTTAGTAGATCTATGTAGTATTTATTCAAACAAAAAAATGAATTATCTCTATAGGAAATGTGTTAAACGAAAGTCATCATAGATTATGAAAGCAACAATTAATTCTAAACATTTCCATACAAACTTACTCTCCTCAGCTTTAATTAACATTGATGTGATCGGCAATGAAAACATACGGTCAATATCATTCAAAACAAATTTTTGATAATAAAGTAAAAAAGAGAAGTGAACTAGTGAACGGTAGCAAGAAAGGACCTACGGAAATATAAATAATACGTTAACTCTGTATCATTATGTAAGAGTATAACAGGTACTTTAAGTTGTCCTAAAATAATATTGAATTAAAGTTAATGTTATAACCCGAAGAGAATTGTAAATGATAACTTTTGAGGACTATTTCTGAACTAATATGATATGTATGTTTCCTAAGTAACTAAAGTATCCATATTCATTTCCCTCTTATTATAAGCTTCATTTTGACTCATAGACTATCATGATACGATTTACCATTCTTGAGTTATCCCCAGTCCATTGATTACTGTCACCCTTATTCACAGTCATATTTGACTAAATCTTGTACACGTGTTATTATCTATTTTATGGTACGATATGGTCAGTTTGTCTGGTATATAAACCCAGTATGTTTGGGAATAATGATTCATATTGCAGAGGCTGAGATCGGTGTTCTGGACTTAACTGGTTGGGCTAGGCAGATAGCAGGACTGATAAGTACTCAAGACTGCTCGTACACGTTTTCGTGTGTCACTGCTCTAATCGATAATTCACTCCTCTCTAATTGGTGGGAATCAGCACGTTATATATTACCAGGCAATCGGTATAACAGTTAAATATCAGAAATAATTGATAATCTGAAAACTAACATTCCACAGAGTATTTGTGTCAACCCGTTAACAATTATGGATAATGAGTTTTACGAAGTCAAAATTGATTACAAAAACTTATGAAGAGATTTAGGGAAAGTCGTTAAATTTTAACATAATTTAAACGGTAGTAGTTGTAGTAGTAGAGGTAGTAGTAGTATAATCTAAGCCGTGTGTTTCATCTTATTCAAGACTCTTTGTTCAGATGTACTTGTATCTCAAGTGTTTCTGAGTGAACCGTTTCGCTATTTCACTGAAGTTACTACAAATGTTTTACACATTATGGTAACTCAGTGCTCTAAGTTTAGTTGCTTATCCCAAGATGTAAAGTCCTTGTCTCTAGTCTTGACATGTTCTTGTGTTTGTGTTAATAAAGAATTACATATCGTAAATTGATAACTGTTCAGCTTATATCCAATATCAAAATTTGTTTCACTAGATCTAATCAGTATTTTAAACAAATTTCGAATAGAAAAATATCTATGGATCTTATGTATTAATAATCACATGTGAATCAAAATGCGATACTATTTATATGTAGTTGAGATCATGAGTCAATTGAAGCTAGACCACCATGGAAAACCTGGAAGTAGTGGATGGCTATTTCGTCCTAATGTGGGACTACTCAATGGGAGTGTGCATCCACGATTCCGCCTCGCGAGCGAGATTCGAACCCAGGACCTATCAGTCTACATGCAACATCTACTATTATATAATGGTGTTTTGTAATGTTGGTTAGATTAATAGTGTGAAAGCTCAACGAAATAAATGTCTTTATTATTCCCATAACCGTTACAAATAATGTTAACGTATTACCCTATAAACAATTTTCGGTCTTATGATGGACATGATCAAAGACTTACCATCTACATAATGGAACAGGAGAACGGAAAATAGGAACAGAAAATGGAGCAACATATCAATAAAATCCTATGTTTCAATGTAGTTCAATATTAATGTATATATATATACATAGTGACATATTGACCATAATATCATATTTGGTTACTTGGCGAATTGACCAATCATGAGTATTACTTTGAGTAAATAATGAAATTAATTTGGTTAATTTACTTAAGACTATTAACTCAAATCTATTAATAATCAGCAAGAATTAAATCGATACAAGAAATTACAGCACATATAACGTAGTAAAACAAACATTGGATACTAAATAGGATTTTATTTGCAAGTTGTTACATCTATGAATGAACTAATTTTCAGAAAGTCTATATGAATAGATAGTTGTAGTCAGTTAGATCATAGTATTGTATTGAACGAGAACACACAAGGGGAGACAATCGAGTATTCTAGTCGAATCTGAGAACTATACAGTTAATGATTCATTTACAAAACGTCAATCATTTGTCTCAGATTTCATTATTTCTTCGTTTCCACAACAATCATTCTCTGTTCTCATTCTCTTCTCTTTGATTTTCTTAACCTTCTGTCTCCAGGCATTTCACTTTATATTGATGACACATACTACTTATATCTGTTGACATCAGTAGCGCACACCACAGAATAAATTTAACTTAACAATTATTTGACAGAAACATTTCCTACAGAGGAAAAACAATGAAATTTTTAGAATTAAAAGAATTACTTCTATTTCTCAGCACATTAGTTGAAAATGGAGCAAACGGATTAAGAGTAATAAAGTGATAATCAAACGCTTAGCATACTTTGGTAAAGTCGACGTTGATGGTCTTTAAGATAACAAGCAAAACAAGTTTCATAGTACATGAATGATCATAACTACTACTGATGTGTATTTATGTAGCACGAAACAACAATAGAGGAATAAACAATATAGTGTCATATACTCTTCAGTATATTACACCATGTAACTTCAAGCTGATTCCATCGTATAAGAACTTAATCACCTTTCAGAATTACTACAATCTCCACGAATCTCCCTTCCGATATTCATTTGTCCTTATTTAATGACTGCATCAATCAGTCATCATCGAACAGCTTAGTTTTATCAAAGCAAGTACAGTACATGCTCAAATCATACCACGAACATTTCGCATATTCGGACTATCAGAAAACTGTGATGAAAACTGACCTTTTTATTATAACTTATCATGCTGTAGTACTTAATGTATCAGTATTTTCGAAACGTTTGTTTATGATTAAGCATATTTAAACTGTTTCAGATGTTGACGCATACTACAAAATTCTATTGAATTTGAACAGTGATATAATACAGAGTTCCCGGCTCACTTACAGTTTTAACAAAAACCCATTTTAGTTGTGTTTCTCTTTTTTCACATGCGAAATGTTGCTTCAGGACAAGTTTCTGTCACATTCTAAGCCAAAGGAGTAAGTTGTGTAGTGGAGTGGGCTAACCACTTCACTTTGCTTGTCTTGCCTATCAGCCCTGATGAATAAGTGTCGGACAAAATCTCTACCTCAATTCAGAAAATTAACTTGGCTTATAACGAATCGCGTCACTTTTCGACTTGACAAGATGTCCGTTTACCCATCAAAGGACTAGTATGATATTAAGAAATCCAACCTCTATTACTATCAGTATGTGACACATCGGCTATGAGGGTGAAATATATGCATAGACAGTAGTTTCATGAGTATGAGTCATTTCAAAGCATTTCTGACTTATCGTGGAACCACTGAGTAAACAATGTTGAGTTCATTTATTTACCTTTCTAGAAATATAGTAATTTGGTTTATGAGACTGGATCTTCACGAATGAAGTGTTTCAGATTTGTGTCACTTCAGTGTAATCATCATCTAATTCAATACGTGTTATTCACTAGTGTAGAAGTAGGCTGTTGTCAAGCTGACCGCAACTAAAAGAAGCTTGATAATTGTGGTCGCTTACAAAGACATTAAATGATATAATTCAGAATCGGTCACAGATGTTCTCTAGATCTTGTATTCCCAGAGACCTGTTTGTGTATCTTTAGATTCTGTATGTCTCATTATCGTTTCTTATTGTCGTGCTAATGTGGTATAGCATCTCGCTCTAATGTTGGTTAATCCAAGACTCCGCAATGATCACAACTGATTGGTATGTAACTTTAGGAGAATGTTATCTCACAAGTCTAGGAATCTTAGATGATTATTTTAAAAAAAAATTTTTAAGAACAGAACAATGTTTTTCAGAAAAATTGGTTTTTATTTGAATTTCATTAATAAAGCAATTAATTAAATCTCAATACAGGATGTCATCATCTTCGAACAAATACAACTGAACTAGGTTGATTAATATTTGTGACGGATATTTTCAAACAGCATTCTATCCAAAGTTATACATCTGAAAGTGAATTAGAAATTTCTTGTTATTCTACGAATTTAATTGATTGATTACAATCTATACCTACTGTTGTTGAATACAAAGTTATTCTATCCATCTCTATTATCATCGACAAAATTTATCAATCTGATGGTGACTTTATTAAAGTCGACATGACCAATTGTTTTAAGAACTATGGATATATGTTTCATATGTTGTATTCATAAAACAAGTCTAAATAGAACAAGTCAGTTAACAAGTTTTCTCGAACGACATCATATTGTAATGACCAGCATGAGATGAACACTAAATGGCAAAATTTCTGCTAGTTTTTAAAATCTGAATTACCTTTTGTAAGAAATATACTGTGCTCTTGATATTTCTCGAAGCAAATTCGTAGTTAACTGAAATGTCAAAGAAAGCACAAATCATAATTTTTACAGTGAAATACATATTAATGGTTGATCTATTATTCTGCAAACAATGAAGTTAACTGCAAGCAATTGACTGTGTATGTATTCTCAATAAGTTAAATAAATTCCTCTTAAATTTTTTCAACTCATAATTCAATGACTTTCTTCACAATATATGAATACTTATAAGAAGGGGTTTGGTGGAGAATTTTAGTAATTTTATATAGTTGAGATCATGAGTCAATTGAAGCTAGACCACTATGGGAAACCTCGAAGCACTGGACGGCCAACTCGTCCTATTGTGGGACTGCTCATCAGTGCGCATCCACTATCCCGCCTCATGAGATTCGAAACCAGGACCTATCAGTGTCACGTCAGAGCACTTAACTGATAGACCACTGAGCCGGCTGGTATCCAACGGTGTTAATGTCTAACTTCAACCAGCAACCATTCACCAATGTCATTAGTGAGTTGATATCTCACAACAGACCTTGTTGAACTCCACTGGTTACTGCTTCTCACTAGAATTCCAGGAAATACCTCATGGAGCAAGTTACTAGTGAGCACATGATATGAATACTTGACGAACTGTTTATATGTGTCTGAATCTAAGCATTCGGAACATTTTAAATTGTCTTCTCAATAGTTTCTTTATAAAAGATAAACAATGTTGTGTGACTGGTACTTACATAATGCTTTATTCCATCTCCACAAAATATCGTATTTCTTAGAAATTAATTGATCCAAAGTTATAATGTCTAGATAGAGAATTAGAAAGGTTTTATATAAATTTTAAAAATATACTGACGAAATCATCTTAATTTTATATACCTTTTCAGTTTGGTATAAAATGAAGTATCCAAATCAATAATTTTAATAATAGTCATCAGCGATACCCTTTGGAGACCAACGGCTACTTTCATGTCTGTTAATAAATGTTGAGTGCTTTCTCAAAACTTTTTAGTATGAAAGTTGAGTATTAGGATATGAGTAGCGAGAATATTCAGAAATTAATTTTGTATAACAGGCCATTGAAATTGTGTGTAGTTGTTAATATATCATTTTATTTTACAAGGTAGCAGATAGATAATCATTTCACTAAAATTGTAGACTGACCGAAGTTAGACAACTATTGAAAACCTGGAAGCACTGTATGACCATTTCGTCTTAGTATTAGACTTCTAAACAGAGCGCTACGTTGACTTCTCTGGAGCGAATCTAACCCAGGAACTACGGTCTCTCATGCAAACGCTCAACCTGTAAACGATGGAGTTCCTATCTAACAGTGAATATGTCCAATTTTAATCAGTCCACGAAGGTCTTGCATTCGATTCCCTCTCTTGTGAATGTGGACACGAATTTCTGAAGTTTCACCCTAAGACAAGACGGCCGTTGGTGCTTTGAGTTTTAAATAGTCATCTGACTTTGATCATTTCGGCATTTCAATTAAGTTCAACAATCTCCAGAACCCTATACTGATGGATAAACACTTAATGAATGAACGTTCTTTAAAATTCCGAGAAAGTAGATGTATATTTTCTGATGATACTAGACACAAATAAATAGTTTCAACTTATGTGAACACATAGTTGTTTAAATGCATCATGATGAAGATCACTTATTTCAATTTACCTTCTTCAGGGAATGTCTCAGATAAAGTGCAATCTTCATTATTTTTAGAAGACTTCTTTCCTGTAAATAAAATTCAAACGAATAATTTCACATGATTTTGTTACTGAAATCAATCAATATTTGAAGTGAATAGAAGTCTGATTAAATATACAAACCTATTTCCCTAGGAATTCATCATTGATCGGTAAACGTTATTTTGGCTGTAAAATACTTCACCAAATGAAATATGAATGTCATTTGTTTAGAAGAAAAAGACGAATCTTTCATAATTTGATGATCCAGATGACAGCGAACAGAAGAATATGTGACGGAGAAGGATATATTTTGTAATCTTTTTTTAATAGCAAGTCAGTATTTTACATATTTATCGATTAATGTCACCAAGTTCAGGTTATATTGGTGATCAGAATAAAGCAGTGAATTGATTATCATATATTGGTCTACTATATGAACGGTCGAAGGTTTGGTTCGTTCAGCCTTCCTCAAATCTATTCACTTTGCCTATCTTCCCAATTGGGTCTGACATGACAGCCAATCAAATAACAATTATAATGTGAACTGTATAAATGCTGTGTTTTATCATACAAACTTAAACATTTGTTAGTAATGTAATGACGTAAAATGTAATAATCATTCTTAGCTGTTGTTGTTGTATTGAGAAAACTAGCAACAACAATGAAATTCTAAGTAAGAAGGTAACAAATTTTGCTGACGTTTTATAATTAATCTGAATGATTAGGTTACTGGTCTTCCAAACAATTGTATCACGTATATGAAATAAGTGTTTTGTTTGAAAATCTTCAAAATCTAACGCCATCTGAATTAAATCGACTTTATGTTGTTTGTTTTGCGAATTTTTGTGGTTTCCAGACATTTTCGTGACAGAATATTCATATAAATAATCTTTGAAATCATCTGTTGAATTGTGCAAATATTATTCACCATAAGTTTGTGTTGAAAGGAACGCTTACAAGCAATCAAGAAACAGTGAATACTAATTGTCTTTTAGTTATGGGTATAGAATTGCTTATCTATAATTCATTTATTGCCAATTTATCTACAGCGAAACGTCTGGTGTGTGACGAATTCTCAGCACGGATACAGAAGGCTCGGCTTGCCATCTTGCGTTGTTTATGGTGTAGGTGCGATATCCGTCTACTAACTAGCAGTTCGTTCCGTCCTACTTCATGGTTGTGGAACATGGTAGATAAAAATAGAGGATATTCTTAGGCTGCTTGTATTCGATCATAGGTGTCTTTGACGCATTGCTAGTATATCCTTGGACTAACGAGTAAGTAATGCAGTCGTTTGGAAACGGGTACTAGGTAAGGATGGTAAATCGATTGATGAAGTGGTGAAACTTCATCAGTTGAGATGGCTGGGACACGTGTTACGTATGCCGAACCACCGATGTGCAATGTTTCATGGTGAAGGAGTAGGTTGGAAGAAAGCTATGGATGGCCAGATCAAAACGTGACACAAATCCATGAAATCACTGACAAGTGGACTGAGCCATGTTGGAAGGTGTAGACTACCAGGTTGGGATCCGAGAAATGATATCAATCCATGGTTAGGGACCTTGAATGACATGGCTCCAAATCGTTTGCAATGGCGAAGGTGCATCCACTCTTTGTGTTCTCCCAAATTTTAATCTGAATTCTTCATGTCCCTTTCTTTTTTATCTTCTCAAATTTATTTCACTGGGTTATACTCCTTCAATAACAGCTTCAAACCCTAATCCTTCACATTACTGCCTAAACTCTTACTACTTCTACCACTATGGGATTTGAATGAACAACTACATGTCTGTGTTAATGTGGTATGGCAACTCGAACTGATGTACGTACGTACGAAGTTCTACGTTGTGACTGACTGATTCAACTAACGAATGAGTAATGATAATCTGTAAGCCTTATAAACTATTCCGGTTTGTAATTAAGTGAAAAGTTGCTTATGTGTAAGGCAGGAGAATCAAGTTCCATGTATTTATTAAATGACAAATGTATATATTATTTATGTAGCTACACATTTAAGAATATATTCACTGACTTTCAAAAATCTCTTCTTCTTTTATGAAACAGTCCTTCACAGTTGAATAATCAGTAACTGTTGTTTAGATGAAACACAAGAAAGTTAGACAAAATTCAAAATAAAATAGGGAACAGATTATTATTTTGATACAGTTTTGTTCTCTGAGCTCAGGGAACAAAACTCCATCAAAATCATCCACTTGAGCTACAAATCTTCTCCACCATCTCAACAGATTATTATAACAATCAAATAGCAAATCTACTAACTCTATTCGAATAGTTTACAAACATCATAAAAATCATTGATATTGAATCTACATTCAATATTATAAGAACAATTATTTTAATAAAAGAAAAGGAAATCATACATGATGTTAGATTGTTATTTTTAAACTGTTTATTCATTTCTAAAAGATTTAAATGAAGATGAACGGATTTTTTATTTCTATGACACATGTTTAAACAAAGTTAAATGACATTTAGCAATAGGAATAACGAAATCTAATTTTAGTTGTGTTTAAAGATTATGCAATAATTGTGTTTTCGTTTTCCAATAATCATTGAGCTCTTGTATAGACAGTCGAATCTAACTATTGGTTTATGTCGGTGAAATGTTTCTAAATTAAATACATGAATTCACCCCATGGCTATCAAGACTCAGTAGCTGAGTAGGTCACATGATGGCGTTTGAAGCGAAAGGTACTGGGTTCGAGTCCCAGAGTGAACATTAACTCTGACATGCAGGTACATCCAGCTGAGGAGTCTCAAATAGCTATATCGAGGCAATGGGCACAGTATACACATATGCCAATAAGAGACTGATCAATTGCAGTCCTAAAAAATCAATGGGAAGATTCAAACAAATTATACCAAGTGAATACATGCATATATTGCTTATTTATAATATTCTGATGAGTAGAAAGATTAAATATTTTATAAACCTCAAGAAAATTTGTACAAACTGTTCAACGAATCAGTAGCTTCCTTTAGTTAGTGTCAGTCTTAAACAGTAAGGTGAATAAATGCACAAAAATAAAGTTGAACAGAAAACTGTCACGTTATTTAAGCCTACTATTTCATTCATTTCAAATTATATGGTTACATCACGGTAGTGATAGTATACAAGTGATTTTCTTCTGAATGTGGATGGTTTGAAACATGGTGTACATTCTAATTTGTTTGAACACGTTTTGTTGAAATGATCTGAAATGTTCGTTGTTTTTTGATACAGATCAGGAATGTTATCACTATAACTCTCATTTGATTGTTTTGTGTAACTTTTAGAAAGTAAGTGCAATAAATACGTAGAATGACTTATGATCCCAATTGATTTGTGAAAAATCGAAATAGCTGAAACAAATCAGTGTAATGATGAATGTGTGTGAATGATGAGACAATAAGATTTGCATTTATTTGTATTATCTGATTATACCTTTGATAAATAATTTGAAGGTTTCTTCTTGTTGTTGTTTACTTTTACAATTCAAATCTAAAATCAACCATGAGTTTAGTGCAAACAATTATCTTTATTTTAAACATACATTGTGTGATCGCTCTATTTTTTTTAACCAGATTTTGACTCATGGTACCTGGAAGAAACAGACACATATTTAAACAATAAAATGTATTTTTTTAAAAAACATCATTCACACAAATAATTATTCAAGTATAAGAGATTAGTACAGTTCGCTATTTACATCATTGCAAACTGGAAAACACCTAGTATGAGACTTCTGAGTAAAGCGTATTCAAACCCTGTTTTGATCCTCTCAGTGATGATGTTTGCACACTACTGGGGAGTTCCACGTTAGAACGAAACAGTGGTTCAGTGTACGTAGTTTTTCTCTCGTCTCATTACGATTAGTCTGTGATGTAAACTATGAAATGCGACATTTATCAGTTACCCTACCAGATTATTATCCGTTGTTTAAAAAAGTATTAAAAGACATAGAGACTAAGTTTGTGTGATGTATGCCACTAAATAGCAGCGCAAATCCATGAATCACGCCTAAACAACTGATAGCAACACTAACTGATAGTAACACTAACTCTATAGTTATTCATGATTTGAATCTTGATGAGGAGAAATATATATATCTCAAAAGGTTCAACTCCTCAATTTAACTTTGGAACAACTATGAGGTAAATAGGGAACTGTTACGAAGTTTTTTTTTGGATTGGTTGATGGAAAACAAATTTCAGTTGAACATCATTCAAAATGACTAAGTTGATAAGATGTACTGAATAACTCGTTACTATAGATAGTTGCTTCATCTTTCAACCTCATTTTTAAGTGTTAATAAGTTGTGTTATGCATGAAAGTGTGTTTAAGATATGTGGGTTATCAAAGTTTTGTATTTATGTATATTGAAAATTAGAAATCAGTCCATATTTCACTTACTTATTTGACTCTTTAATAACATTTCATTTTTTCTGAACATAGTTATTCCTCTCTCTACATCATCTGTAAATTAGACAAAGAATATTCAGAAGGGGGTTTTGTGGAGAATTTTAGTAATTTTATATAGTTGAGATCATGAGTCAATTGAAGCTAGACCACAGTGGGAAATATGGAAGCACTGGACGGCCAACTCGTCCTATTGTGGGACTGCTCATCAGTGCGCATCCACTATCCCGCCTCATGAGATTCGAAACCAGGACCTATCAGTGTCGCGTCAGAGCACTTCACCGATTAAACACTGAGCCGGCTGGTATCCAACGGTGTTAATGTCTAGCTTCAGCCAATCCACGAAATTGAGAACCCATCTAGGCGTAAGTAATAAGTAATGTAGTGCAAAGTTATAAATGAACTTTTTTTCAAAAAAAGGTATTTCATAAGCTTTACATTCTCAAGTTATACAAATTAAAACATACTTATTTTGTTCACTTCATCCCAATTAACTATGTTTAATATAAAGAAGAAGAATTGTACATACTCCTACTGAAGTATTAGTGCAAAAATGTCTTATCCATTACTTACTTTCGAAGAACTTATCATAGAAAAGTTATAAATTAGAATTCAAAGTGTATAATTGAATCTTACAATCTTTGTAATGATTGATCTGCTTTATATATTGTTGATCTCCCACTTGGAAGTGGAAAATGATTCGTTGTTTCAGTTCAGTGGATTGTTGACGATACCATGAGAAATACTAACTAATCAATTAAATGTCGGTTACCAACTATCTAAAATGGTTTAAATTTCGAAATACTGATCTAATGTGATTGATTTTGACATAAATGATGCATCGTCCCCATAGGTGAACTTGAAGCTTTATTAATAAATAGTATAGTATCGTGTAAAAGAACAGTCTGTCCACAAATATCATGGCATGATTATTAATATACATCAACCATCAATGATTGATATGGCTGTTCAAACTATACAAAAGTCGCGAATTAAGTGGTATATATATATTAAAAAAATATTATCGAGATATTATTTGATGACTTACTAGGTTCACGTAGAGCTTGAAAAATATTTCAAAAATATCAATCGGTACAAAAAATTTAATTGAAGTAACAATTTAGATCGGCAACCCAGAGTGAACATCAACTCTGAAATGCAGGTACATCCAGCTGATGAGTCTCAAATAAGACGAAACGCGCTTTAAACTGGATTCCACTGCTAGCCACTATTCATCTCTGCTAACCATGCTTGTGAAATAAGGTTATATCGAGGTAATACGCATAGTATGCACATATGCCAATTAGAGACTGACCAGTTGCAGTCCTAACACATCGATAGGAAGATTCAAACAAACAATACTAAATGAATTTAGTTAGGTAACCTCATGTTAAATCGTTTTATAATAGTGTCCATTCTCGTGTGAACTGTGGTTCCCAATGGGTAAACAGATTGTCAAATATATATGATAAAGCTGTTGGCTGAATGATGATAGATGATAGATTTGGTTAAATTAGTATTTTCATATATATAGGAATATTATATTTATTTCTCATGTAAAAAAGCGTCACTACATTAATCGTTAAAGGAGTAAATGGGGTGCATTATTTACAATATAAGATAGTTACATCAAAAGATTTGTAATACATTCTATCGATTTCTTTGTAAATAGTCGATTGTTGTAAACGGCTTAATGAAACTTGTCTATTATTGTGTGGTTCATTTTGCTCATGAGTGATTAGAATACCGTTTGTAAGGTGGAACTTGCTAGTGCTTTTAATCTAATAAAATTACGGTCACTAATGTCAAATGTTTTAACTAATTAACTAATAACCGGTGACAAATACTCTCCAATGGTTCAAATTGTAAATCAGTGATTTGGGTCAGTTGACGTATGATTTTGTCTAAGTTACATTTTTCTTAATACAGAAAGGAATGGTGTGTGTGGAAGCTGAAATGTTTTATTGTTAACAAAAATCGAATTATCATTAATTTAATTTAATTTTGGTTATTTATTTAGTCTGAAGAAGTAGTTTACACTGAGACATGAAACGGCAGAAATATAATTATTTTACTCATTGAGATATAACAAAAATATATTTTAATAGTTGAGATCATGGATCAATTGGAGGTAGACCATCATGGAAAACATGGAAGCACTGGAAGGCCGTTTCTTCCTATCGTGGGACTCCTCAGAAGTGCCCATCCACGATCCCAACTCGTGTGATTTGAACCCAAGACCTGTCAGTCTCGTAGATGCATACCGCTGAGAAGTCCCATAATAGGACAAAACGGTCGTCCAGTGCTTCCATGTTTTCCATGTGGTCAAGTTTCAATTGATTCAGGATTTCAACTACTAAAATTACTATAATATCCACAAAAGCCCCTTCTAATAAAAATATATTTATCATTAACTCTCCACCAAATTCTCAATTTATTTGAAACTATCAAGTATAATCTTGGTATTGATGCCTCTAAACCTAATCTGTTTACTTAGTATTGTTTGTTTGGATCTTCCTATTGATGTTTTTAGGACTGCAACTGGTCAGTCAGACTCAGTGGCCGAGTGGATAACGCGATGACGTTTCAAGTGAAAGGTACTGAGTTCGAGTCCAAGATTGAACATCAACTTTGAGATGCATGTAAATCCAGCTGACGATTCCCAAATAGGATGAAACGCACGTCCTGAATTCCACTGGTAGCCACTATTCATCTTTCTCAATATGTTTAGTATAGAAATTCATACATTTCATGTAATCAAATGTTCCCTTCAGCAAATCCATTTACTGAAACTTCATAACCATATTTGAAACAATTCAAGCTATCTCAGTTCTTTAAATTTTTAAGTAATAATGTAAAAATTCATTATCAACATATTCTTAGATAGAGCGAAATTGTTTTCCAATTTATGTAGTCAACTTTCAGTCACTATAACCACATTTCGATGATTATACAAGTTTTATAAGAATACATAGAACACAGTGATGAATCTGACAGTCTAAGTACTATTATGAATATGAATTAGTTGATGAACATTGTTTGATAACTTACGTTCATCTCCCAATGCTATGAAAAATATAAAATGGTGTATTTTGGAGTATGTTTCACTATGAAAGCATTTTAGACAATTATGGTTGATTGTTATTGAGACATAAGTTATATTTCTTAGCATAAATCTTCCTAATTGATATATATGTATATAGTGGCTAGAAGTTAGTCTGACTAATTAAATGTACTTGCACCCCTGTTCATATTTACATCGAAACTTGAACCCGGTAATATTCGCCCGAAACACTTAGGGTTGGCTATACTCAGCTTCGCATTACAAATAACCACTGACTTTTGCAACGAAAATAAAATCTTATCGGTTTGTATACTAAGGACCCTCAGAATGTTGATTAAATTGCTCTTCAACCATCGTCAATATCAAGTCTGTCATTTCTGGATGTATGTATTCAAAAAGAGACTGATCACTTGGAGTCTTTAAAAAATCAACAATGAGAAGACACAAACCCTGGAAAATAAATGAAAATTTCTACAATGATAAAAGATTTAAGACTGTTTGAGAGGATGAAACAGAAGGAAAAACATTAGGTGGAGAATGGCTTTCACTTCATATGAGTGTTAAGTGTAAATTCCTATTAAAAAATAAGAACTGGCTGATTATTTTAATGTAGTAAATTCTGATTACTGACGTAAAATGCACCAGTTAACTAAATGAAAACCAGTGTATTCAATCTACAATGATTTTACTTTTAAGTCATCAGTTTGAATAAGTTGATACGTGATTTTTTTGGTGTATTTCTTCATTCAAACACAAGTAAGTAGTAAGATGGTAGTTGGAGGTGGTCAACAAGAAACTCCGGACTTGAGTTTCGTGCTACTTGGCACTCGTCAGCAAGGTGTACCTGTAATCTCGAGGGAACCGGTGCTCCCTGACGATTCGATTCCATGTCACTCAGCTTCACAGTCAGAGACGTTACCACCATCTTATCTCAACATAGTGCACACAGTGTCAAGCCACCTAGACTAGTGGCTACATTGCAACTTGATCGACAGCATTCAACCAGCACTAAGAAGAACTTGACACGCATGATATTGATCACCACCCAGTGATCAATCAATTAAGACTAGTAAGTAGTATACAAACACATACAAGTTTCAACAAGAAACATCATAGAATTCATGCAACAATGATACTCTCATTAGTTGTTCCATTTTAGAGCTGTACTCCTGGATTCATAATTCATCCGTTTATTCTATCTTATTTTGAAAATTCTGATTAAACCTTTTCTTAAAATTGAATCAAATAGAAATATTTTGAGGTGGTAGAGAAGATTTTTAGCTCAGGTGGATGATTATGATGGAGTTTTGTTCTCTGAGCTGAAAGGTTTAGTCGTGGAGCTTTCATCGTCCTTATGAACGACATCATCAGCACAAGTATTTTGTTTAATGAATTAAACATTATTGTAAACAAGATCAACATAGTGTATTTTATGAAGACAATAATTGATCACTTACCCTTATCGAATAGCACTTGTAAAATTGTAAAGAAAATATATGTTTATACAAAATAATAAAGACATGAAAAATATAAACTGCACACACAGTCCACATTATCCCTTTTTTATAATATAAATGATTAATGTATGTTGATTCACTAATTCCTGTCATATCTATTTAACAGAAGGGGTTTTTGTGGAGATTTCAGTAGTTTTATAGTTGAAATCATGAGTCAACTGAAGCTAAACTACCATGGAAAATCTGGAAGCACTGGATGGCTGTTTCGTGCTATTGTAGGACTCCTCAGCAGTGCGCATCCAGGTCTGTTGTGAGATATTAACTCACTGAAAACATTGGTGATTGGTTGCTCAACTTGGTGGATCGGTTGAAGTTAGACATTAACATCGTTGGACACCGGCCGGCTCAGTGGTCTAGTGGTTAAGCGCTTGCACGCGAAACTGATAGGTCTTGGGTTCGAATATCGTGAGGCGGGATCGTGGATGCTTACTGCCACTGAGGAGTCCCACAATAGGATGAGTTGGCCGTCCAGTGCTTCGAGGTTTTCCATGGTGGTCTAGCTTCAGTTGACTCATTATTTCAACTATAAAATATCTATTTACGTTGTATCATTCATAATTAATTAGGATAATGTAAGGTGTATTTGTCGCCAACATTCAAGTGATAATCATATTTATATTTAAAAATGAACATTTAAATCGAGTTGATAAAAGCAGTTCCATGTGAATGTAACATTATACAATAATATGCGTTATGTTTCCAACAATTTATTTTCCGGAACTAGAAATTCAGTACAATAAATAGTTAAGTTTATGTTAAGTAGCTTACCATTTATAGCAGCTTATAGGAAAAAGGATCAATAGAATATGAAAGTCAAATAAATATATGTAAAACATATTTTCAGTTAATTCTTGTTAAGTTTAGGTTATCATCACCGTTAGTAAATGATGGTGAATCGTTAAGGAATAAGCTTATGGTACTAGTAAGCTATCGTATTAAATCAGAGAGAGAGTTTTTGAGTGACTTTGAAACTAACCAAAAAGATGTAAACTGGTCAGGATTTGTCTGTAGTGCGAATAGTACATTGAATTAAATGATGCAATTACAAGCTTTTAACATGATCATTCTCATAGAACGCCAGGTTTCATAAATGTCTTCATCCAAAATAGAATACTATGTCGAATGATCTTCACTTTAGTGTCATTACATTCTTTATGTGCCCTACGCTGTCTTTAACTACAACGAATGCTTTTTTCGATAATTTGACGTTCTGTAAGTAATGAACAATCAGTTAATTATGTAAACTAGCTGAATTATGAAATCTCATCACAAAATTATCTTATCATATACAGGCGATTCATAAATGGATTTTAGAAACTGCATCTTATTCCAGTAATACACATGTTCCCTCTAAATGATCGTCTCTATTCAATTCAAGATAATCAGTATAGTTTAGTTCTACTCATTAAAATTGAATGACAATTATTGTAAACAGATGTTATTAATTATGTAGAAAACATCAGAGTGTATTCGCTCAGACTCTTATTCGATGGACTCGAAATGTTACATTTTATATGTTGAAGAACTCTTGGTACTTTCCCGACTATATTATACCATATTTGAATAACGAATAATTTGGTAAATGCACATTTCCACTTAAGTGGTTAAGCTGTTTTCATGAAGAATGCATTAACTGAGACTGATCAAATGGATAGAATATACACAAATTCAGAATATGTTCAGCGAAATGAGATGAATAAAGTGAATATAACAAAATGCAACTTACAGTCTAGTAATGAAATGTGAAAAAGTATAACAAATGTGGTTGATTATGATTGAGATGTAAATCATATTGATTGGCATGAACACTCACAAATGATATATGTTCATGTCATCAATAAGTAATGGCAAACCAATAATTCATATCGTTCAACATGAGTCGACTATCATCGAGTCATTATAAAGACTGATTTCAAACTAAACGGAATGTACTCATTAAGAAGTGAAAATTACATAGATTAGTTTGGAGAAAGGTTCTATTTTCGGAGAATTTATTTTAGAGATGTACAATTGAACATATCGTGTTTGTCAGAGCGATATCCATTAATTTGCACATTATTGTTATCATGATGTGATGATGACGATAAATGTTGCACAGAATCCTACTTATTGCATATCTTCTTCATATGCAATGATTATCACTAGAAATTCCTTAAATGACTGTTAATTTTGACCAATTTATTCTTAAGAAAGTTTATCGTAGAATTGTGGTATGTGCAACTATGTTGTATTTTGTAAACACGTGTATGATTTTGTAATTAACTAAGGAGAAGCTAAAGTGCATTTAGTGACCTTCCAAAATTCCTAGTTAATTACATTAACACCTTCACTGAATATGTTCTTTAATTATTAAAATTACTCATCGGTACATGATACCATGTCGTTATGTTTATCTGTTAGTAAGATGAAAACGACATATAGTATCTGGGTATCGGTATGAAGTAACCGATTCCTTTCTCTTAAATATTTAATGTCTACGCCGTTATTAACGTGTCGTTCAATATTACGTAAGGATACACGGTCTTAACGTAGTTATGGATCAAGTCATGTTACTTTGTACACTTATACTACTGCGATGGACGCTACTCGTGAGACCGCTTATAAGTAGTATGTGGAGGGGAATGACCTGGAAACTCTCGCAGTCTTCAGATAGAGAGAAGAGTTTCATTACATTAAAGACATCGTGTAATCAGAACTCTTAAGACACAGGAGAGGAGACAGGACTGCAAAACACACTATTTGGGTGAAAATGGATGCTCAAAGGCTATTTCTATACATTATACAAGTCGTTTTTAGTAGCTCGCAATGAATGTTTCTCTCTTCTACAATTTATCTTATTATACGTTACGATTGTAACTTATCACCCATCAGTTCAATTGCAAAAGATTGGACAATTGGTTTATTGTGATCCAGTAGCAATTTACTTGTTCATCATATAGGAAGGCTTTTGTAAGATTTTGCATTTTTACGTTAACGATATTTTTTACTAACTGCGATTTGGAAATAGATTAGAAACACTTTGACAAAAATAAAGTTTTCAGGAATGTTCGAAGACGGGTAAGCTTATTAATTAGTGAAGAATTATCACTGTAAATGAATGTTCAAAGTGCATTCCAATTTAAAAGATGAAACTGGGTAGTGGTTTTGGTGCAGTAAGTTGTAACTGTTGGTACGAAATTAAAATTAATCTCACATGATATATTTCCAAATGATTGGTTTCAACTGACCAACGTGTGATTCAATTATGGTTTTCCCGTACCCATACACAAATAAACTTTGTGGAAAGCGGGAAGTATATTATGTTGACGAAAATCTACTAGTGAAGAATGTATACCTAATGGTTTTCAATGAACAAGTTCATACAATTCACGGAGTAAACTGTTCTTATTGATTATCCAATAACCAGATTTATACAAATAACGAAGTCTCCAAATTTATTCAACCCAACTCATGGTTTTAAATTTGTGAGTAATAATGAAGTTGAAGAACACATAGAACTCAAAACAACTGTCAACCAATATCAAAATCAAAATCTTCAGGACGAACGTCAGAACAGTTAGTTCTATTGTACGAAGCTGAAACTTCATGAACTACAACAACCATTATCATGAACGTACAAGTTTTCTAAACAATTGTCTACTCAAGATACTCAATATCCGTTTGACGGAAACCATCAGCAACAGACTACCCAGGGGAAGAACAAACCAGCTTCCAGCTGAAGAGAAAATTAGAAAAAGATGTTGAAAGTGGCTAAGAGGCATGCATTAACTTGGAATCGTGAAGGGAAACGGAAATGAGGAAGACCAAAGAACACACTGCTTCGGGAATCATAAACAGAATTTAAAAGGATGAATAACAACCGGAAAGGATTGCCTAAGACAAATTTCGATGGAGAATATTGGTGGGCGGTTTATACTCCTGAACGAGGGCAAGAGGTGTAGGTAAGCAAGTAAGTAAACAATGAAGAAGAACTGTGTGTATCATATTCAGAGATAGATTACTTTTATTTGAAAAACGACAATGAATACTTCAAATACCCATTTTCACTATTATGATGAAAAACGTTTTCATTAGAAGACATTAAATATCACTGCTTAACTTGATCATTCACACACCATTTTAAACAAATTAGAGAGTATAAATTTTGAAAAATAATTTTTTCTAACTTACATTTTGGCATCTCAGCTTGGTAATGTACAACAATAAAGATGTAATAAAAGAACACTGTAAAGTACATTTTTCTTTTAAGAATATTCATATTTCTTTTTTCATTTTATACTATCATGATATGATAGTGATTTGTTGATTTGAATCTTTACTACCCAACCCGTAATTATTGGTTTATTTTAAAGAATAATTTTAACAGACACTGATCAGCGCCAAATTTAGTTGACGGATAATGTTTTTTAACTAATTGAATTAATTTCAGAATAGATACCTGGGACGTTTGTGCCAGGTTCTGATGTTTACAGCTTAGTAGTAGTAGTAGTGTGGTGTGGTCTACTTAAATCCATATAAGTAGTATAGAGTGCTGGTCAGGATGAGGAGGAGGAGGAGGAAGAGTAGCAATAGTAATGGTAATAGTATTAGTAGTATCAAAAGCAGTGTGAGTATTGATAGCAGTGTGATTAATATCAATAGCAGTAGTAGAAATTGTAAAATATTTATTAAAGTTAATAATAACATTGATGGATATTAACAAAAAATAAAACTATCATATCAAAATCATTATTGAGTAATGATACTTTGGCATACTATATATGCTTATTCTTGTTTGTTAACACAAGTGTTTTATGAAATCTTGAACAGAAGGTCCTGGGTTCGAGTCTCGAGTGCGGAGTTGCGGACGGGCATTGCTGAACAGTCCCTTCATGAACAAAACATCCAAAACATCTAACATTGTTCATTTCATGATCTCAATTAAAAAAACTCAACAATCTCCACAAGCCTATACTGAGAAATCTCAGTTAGTTGTAACGAAATTTAAATTTACGATGAAGGATGTTGCGATGATTTTTATTTTTCTTGAAAATCACCTTTGTATGTCTGAATATATTTACATATTTGTCAGGTGTCTTTGTACTTATTATCGTATATCTATATATAAATGCGTCGAAAATGGTGTTGCGTTTTCGTAACCCGAACAATGAAGTTATCTTATAGGTTAAAAAATGTAAAGCTTGTTTAGATGGGCCTTACAGTTTCGTCGCTCATGTTTTTATATGCTGATTTTGTTCATTTAACACATAAGTAATATAAGTACCATTGTAAATAAATATCTTAGTAGTATAAAAGAGTCAAAATGAGTAGTAGATTATCAGGACTCAGTTTGTGATCTTAAAAATTGAGACTGATGGAGTTAAATAATCAATGAAGAAAGAGCGTAAGTGATTTACTGTAACATTGCAGATATGTTGTACATGGGAAATTAAGAAAAAGTTCCAGACATATCAGAATTTCGTACACTACCGAGTTATTGATTGGTTAGATACTATGCTCAGTTATTTTCCAAACTTAAATAGTTCAAGCAGATATGTAAAGTACTCAACCACAGGAAAATTATTCGATAACAAGCATCAGTAGGTGGTTGAGGAAGACTCACAGTTACTCTATGCATATTACTAATCTCGAGATTCAAATGATAGTGAAATTCAATGAAGACTTCACTATTTCCATCGAAGGTAGATGCACAACATGTTGAAGAGTATCCCTCTGTTAAAATTTCAGTTTTAATTGTATAAGAAAAATTGAAACTACTAAAAGTGGATAGTTTGAACATT